ACTCTTACAGAAACTGAACCTGACTGAGACTGAAGCCTGAAACTGAGCTCCAGAGTTGGGGCTGCAGGTGTTGGGTACCAGCCTGACACACATCAGGTCAGATGCACAGCAAACTATCAAAGTGTACCAGACACTGCTGGATGTCAAGACATGTTTGTAGCTGGTGGTAGGAGAAGGAGACACGGAGTAATCAGTTTCTGAAGGACACAAAGCCAGCTTTACCTCTTAAAACCAAGAATTTGAAATAGCTATTCATGGGACATATTATATTATGAATGTCGTATACAAACTGTAGAGTTTAGAAAAGGTTTTTACCCAAATACTTTCCCCCAGCTGTCTCTAAAATGCTTAGAGCAGGTAATTGTGTGAGATAATATATGTAGGAGGCCTCTAGATGGCAGTCTTTGAGAGCTTATTCTGTTGTTGACGATGCTGAAAAACTAACCTTTTTAAGTAGAAGCCTGTTTATTTTAAGGGGCAATAATATCTTTTATGCAGCTGATTATAACCTGGGTGATTTTTACACAGAGGTATAGGCCCACGGTCAAACTTTAGATCATGGAAATTTCTTTTGCACGACCAGATTGACAAATATATTTCTTAAACACTGTTGGCGATTAGAATCACTGTAAAACAAAATAAACTGGAAGCTGAAATTTAATATTAAGAATGAATTATCAAAAAATATGTTAAATAGACACAGGAAATAACAGGTGGGGATTATGGAAAGGAAGCCACTCCTTTCCAAAGCTTCATGTGTCTTCTTTTCTTTTTCTAAAAATAAAGGGAAAATTGATGAAAAATGTAGCCACTATATTAGTAGTGCCAGAAATGAATTCAATAATTATTATTTGTGATATAATAATGCAGAAAATGCTATTATAAAGTAAAAATGCTTCCTAAAAATGCAAATAAATAACAGTTTTTATATTTTCCCATGTTTTCCAATTTTATTTGAGTTGCTGTGTGCTTTAAAAAAAATTTTCTCAACTTCCTGTAGTGTTTGTAACTAGAACCTTGCAGTCGTTTAAATGTGATCAGCTGATATATGTCTCATAAAAAGACATGTTGACTTTGCTCCTCTCGTGCTTTTATTCACTTCCCTTGCCTCTTAACATCCGGGAAGGATTGGAACAGAAGGTTTTATCAGAAAAGTAGTCAGATTCCCTCGTGTTTAGCATCTGTTTCAGTCCTCAAATGCTGAGCCTCTTATATTTATCTACCTAGAAAAAAAAAATTCTCATATCTTTTCTTCCTTGCTTAAGGGTCTAATCCTGCACTGTTCTCCAAAGATTTTTTTCACTTCAAAATACAAATCGCATAATGCACAAAAGAATGCACAAAAGAATGCATTTGATATGAAATATCTGCAGGCGCAGGTGCGTATCCAGACTAAGAGATGCTCACCACAAAAGGGTGCAAACACATACTGTACATACTAATGTAGATGCAAATACTGGAGCACACTTACACAAACACATGCAGTAAACAGTATGATGCAAATAATAAATGTGTACTTGTGTGCACAGGTATAGTAAATGCTAAGGAGAGATTGAAGAGGAAAATTTGAAAGGAATGTGCAGGCATTTGTCCTTAAGTTAATACCTAAAAAAAACACCTAAAAGTTTCTTGTTAGTGTTCCCATCTGTTTATAGGGACTGTTTCGTTTCTCCAGTGTCACTCAACAGTGCTTCAGGGATTGTGCTTAAACATGCTGAGGTTATGCCTCTTTTCTATGTTTGGCTTTTATGCAAATGCAGAGGTGACAAGGTGCAGAACCTTTAATCTCAGCTTCTTTGTGGTTTGAACTGTTAATACGGCGAAACCACCATAAATCTAATGGGAAAACAGAATCAGGAAGGCAGTATTGAGATTGTAGACGGAATAAGCAGAACCTATAATAACCTCATACAAGATGTGAATTAAGAGGAGATATTGTGCCTTCTTTGTGACAAGCTCACAGGGAAATTTCCCTAAGGTTAATGACTGTCTCTTCAAAGAATTGGCTGTGCCATTACTGGAAAATAAAATCTGATGACGACATTACACAACAAGATGGTAATTTCTACCCAATTAAATAGTTATAAGCTTTTAGTAAGTATCACAAGTTACAAAAATAGGGTCTTCACCCAAATCTCATCCAACTTGACAAGATGATAATCACAAGAAAGCAGATGTAAGTTATCTCAGGTTTACTGCTTCGTAAAGATTAAGTAATGAGCTTACATTACAAGTTATTACTGCAAATTAACAGTAAATGGACTGGTTCTAAAATAGCACTTTTCTACTCTACTTGACCATTCAAAGCACTTAACATGCCTCATTCACCCAGTCATACAGTATCTATCCCAAGGATACTTGGCATGCATACTGAATGATCTTTTGGCTAACCAGTAACGCAGACTTGCGTTGCATGTTTTTAGAGATATTGAATGCTTTGATTTTACAGAAAATTTTGTAATTTAGCCGTAACATAGCTAATAGCTATTACAATTTCATAAATAATACAATTGTTTTTCAAGTGATACCAAGACTTTGACGAAGTAGAATTCAGCCATGGGGGGAGGGGACACCCAAAAAGAAACAGGACCCTTTGTTTTTGTCTATATCAATCCCACTTCAGATTGATCCTTATGAAGCCTTTATAAATGCACAGCACATGGCGCATGCTTTGGAAATCTCATTTTTTAAACCCTTTGCATCTTCTAAACTCAGTCAACAGACAGTCATACACAAATAGCTTCAGAAAAAAGGTTTATTTTATTCCTCAGACTACAGTGTCAAGGTAAATAAAGACAAGCTTTCAGCGTATTTCATTAAGCTATATGCCCTCATCCTCCGGTGAGTCATCCTTTGATTTCCATTTCTAAAGATTCCATTTTAAAACTGAATGCTATTGCAACAGAGAGAAGCTGTGATTATACAGTGTGTGCGTGTGTGTGTGTGTGTGTGTGTGTGTGTGATCGGGGGCTGGGAGGGTGGGGGGTGAATTTATAAACAAACTAAATTCATATCTTAAGCAGATTTACTGAAGGGTAATATCCAGGTATACAGACACATGTCAGCAACAATGCCTGCTGTATTAGAAACAGTCTACCAGGAAGAAGCAGAAGGCAGAGAATGAATTCTGCTGTCAGGAAACATGACAAAAATACTGGTATCAAGGGGCCCTTTAATATGCCTGCTGGCCCATGGGTGTAAGAAGCTTATCCCACACCTCTACCTTCATGATAGCTTTGCCTAGAGGACACATAGTGGCCCTGATATCTAGGCGGTTACCCATGTAATTGATTCCTGACCCAGTGGCTTCCTCCCTGACAAACCCATGTTCATGCTGATTCTTCTCGTAGTACATTTCTTTGTACAAATCCTTGTCACAGTTACGGCCCCTTTTATAGATGCCCACTGCAAACCAGTTCTTGTACAGGTTGTAGTCCCAGGGGACGGAGAACATGAGAGCCACAGTCTCAGCGAAGTCATTCTGTGACCTCTCGAAAAGGTCATAGGTCAGTACACCAACAGCTCCTGTTGCTTTGCTGCTGGACTTGGTGAATGTGCAAACCTCTGTCTTTAGAGGGCGCACTGTAGGTTGCGGTGGGTTGTATGCATCCCCATTCTCAAGGTATACCCTAATTAGTACACAAATAGAAAAATGCATTCAACATTTTTTTTTTTTGGTCTTCTATGTATTTCATATAAGCCCGAAAAGTCACAACACGGGCTGGGCTTACCTGGGGTTAATAAGGCAGTAGCTGTTAGCGAGATTTGATATTTCGATGGTCACACTTCTCTTGCTGCTCACGTCAGCAGCTACAGCTTCAGCTGTCTCTGTCATGTTGCAGTGGCTGCGAGCTCTGTTGATCTAATAAAAAATAATTTAAATGTCAACCAGCTCATACCTGTAACATGGATGTTTATTTCCTCCTAACTGCAGTGAGAATCATAGGAATAAACTTATAACAATATAGAACTCAGGTTCGACCTCATCTCTGATGATGTACTCTAATATCATTACGCTGACCTTCAAAAGCACACATCGACTGTCACTGCGTAAAAATAGTGTATTTCACAGGCTAATGAGATTTTACAAGAGAACATAGAATTGCTGCAGTCTTTTAACAGAGTGTACCACTCCAGTGACAGTACTTTATAATTAGTACTACACAGTGATAAAGTTAGAGTGAAAATGAAAGAACATGATCACTCATTTTATCAACAGATACATTAAAGAAATCAAACAAAAGCCTCATCAAAGTTCTATATATCTTACAAATTATAAGAGCTAGGAGAGTCATTGTTCTAAATGTATTTTCCCTAAATGAAGTGACTTACCTGCTGAGAAGCGTTGTTAGTACTTGAAGTCCAAAAACAGTAAAAGTTGCTGGTTGGTTTTCCTTTTTTTGTCTTTTTCTTCTTTTTCTTTTTTTCCCCCCCAAGGATATATTAATCACTCAGAAAACCCTCCCAATTGAAGTACAACCCTGCTTAAATACAGGATAGCACACCCTCTTTCCAAACACACGACCCACACGAAAAGAAGACTATGAGAACAAATATTACTTTTTTCCCCTGTGGGATGAAACAGCCACACCCTAGCCTGTGGCTAAATTGAACAGTTTCCAACAATTTCCCATTGGATCCCAACCACTGAGGTGAGCCCTTCAAGACTATAATAACAAGACATGAATGTATTTTGGGACTGTCATTCCTCTTGTATTGTGAAACAGTAAAAAAAGCAGATCAAACAAGTTGGGACAGACATTTCTGGAGCGATACTTTGCTTAGTATCTTGCTGAAACTCTTGCATTCCAAATACCACACAATCAAGCAAGATGGAGAGTCTAACAGCGAAGGAAGAACAATATTGTTTTTGTAGAAATTAAAAAAACATCTTCCATCTGTTGTTGCTCATTAGAATTGGACGGATCCAGATAAGAGATTAAAAAATGATTACAGTTCATCAGTAATAATGAAAGCATATGAATGAAAACATATCCCACTCAAAGTAGCACAAGCATTGGGGCTGAATGCTTTATTACCATAATAAACGAAAATAGAGTATTCCGTGTACATGAGCCCAAGAGCTAAGCTAATGGAGAATCAATGAGGTGGCTGTCAGATATTGATATCTTTCAGCAGACACAAAATACAGATGACAGCAAAATCAGTCTTCCTCTTCTCCTAAATGTTTTTTTTTTAGGATGACAAGAGTCGTCAAATCAAATGAAGTTTATTTTTCTGCGACTAGAAAAACAAGAAAACACAGAAAAGCAGAACACCAGTAGACTGCACACTAATGACCCATTTTATCATAGAGCTCCACTTTAACCATGGCTTTTCCAACAGTAGACATTGTGGCCCTCAGGTCAACATATGTTGCCTTGTACTCCAGCCCACAGCCATTTGCCTCAGAGCGGGTGAAGTTGCTGAGATCCTTCCCATCATACATCCGGTCATACAGCTGTTTGTCACAAGCACGGGATTGCTCAAACACACCCATGGCCAGCTGGTTCTTATACAGGTTGTGGTCAAAAGGCACAGAGAACATGATCGCCATGCGCTCGGAGCAAACCCGGCTCTGCATATGGAACAAATCGTAGGTTAGAATGCCGACGGCACCCGTGGCAGTGTTGTCATCCTTGGTGAAGGAGCACACTTCTGTCTTGGTGGTACGAATCGTGGGCTGGGGCGGGTGTTGACAGAAGCCACTTTTCATGTACACCCTATTAGAGCAAGAGATAAATCCTTACCGTCACTACTAATCAGTTAACAACTTTTATGTCACACTTCTCATACTTTTGATGAAAAAACACACTTTTGTAACTTTTGTGGAGATTGTCAATTTACTTTTTGAGTGTTGGGCTTTCCAGGGTGAAACATCTTATGCTGATGGATGGAGTGTGACTGGGAGTACTACTGTGGACTTCTAAGCAACAGTGAGTGTACCTGCATGCGATGTGCAATGAGGCAGTGTGTGTCACTGCATGATGGATAGGTGGATGTTCTCAGCAAAGTAATGTCACACATGAAAACCAGCCATCCAAAATATGGCCTGTCTTCCCACAGCTAGATAAATGTAGAAGGATGGCACAGATTCCAATAGACATGAATTGTTTATATTTATTTTGTTGCTGTGTTTTATTAATTTTTTTCTCCTTTTTGTGGTCGGAGGGGGGGAAATCCATATTACATTGTTGAGAAATACAGTAGGTGGCTATATAAAACTAATATTTTATTAATGTTATAATAGATGGTGCACTGCATTTTGCTTGCAGTGCCATTGAGCCCTCCTTGTGAAATTTAGGTTTATGAATTATTAGAAAGAACACAAGGTGGAGATTGTGGTGACCCCCAAATTATACATGGCTGTTATGCAAAAGAAAATAATAATTACATATATGTAACTTAGTTATGCTTTTTTTTTTTTTTAATAACAGTGATTCACAAACACTAGGCAGCCAAACCTAATTATGAATTGCAGGACATGTCACTTGTTGCTTTTAAGAGCTTAGAAGCAGCATTTTAGTGAACTTAATGTATAATGTTGTGAAGTTTCCATTGTTCATCACAATGTTTTTCCTGCAATGTCATTCATTGATTTATGTTTTATGAAGTAAACATTCAGCCATTCAGGTCTGGCCCTAAATGCTATCCATTTATTTTCTCAATTAATCAGTTTTACAAGTGTTAAACTGACAAAGACATTTGCAGACTTACTTGGGGTTAATGAGGCAGTAGCTACCGCTGACATTGGTTATTTCTATAGTGCAGTTTCTGTTGGTGGTGAGAGTGGCTGACACAGCCTCAGCTGTTTCTGGCATCTTGACTGCAAGAGAAGCAGGATTGAAAGCTTAGAACAATACCCACTGACAGTTCACCAGCTAGCAGCAACACATTTAATTGCTGAAAAGATTAATTACCTCCAAAAAGCTGGTTTATATCTCTCCTCAAATATAATATTCTCATAAGAATTAACTTAACATGACGTAGGCGTGTTTGAAAACGAGTATACCTTAAGTATACGAGAACAAGAGAAACGTTGTTTTTACAGATGATAACCAAGACAGAAATAAGTTCGAGTCCTATTATAAGTAAGCATAATTAGGTACCTTTTAGAGAAAAATATGTGCGTTGTGCCAGACAGCAGCGTCAACTTCTTTTTCTCAGGTCTTGCAGAGAGCGTCTCCCTTGTGTGATTACACCTCCACAGTGCTTGTGCTAACACAAGCACAGGCGTGTCCATCGTGAAACAAAAGTACCCCATCCACTGTGAGAAATCATATCTCACAAAGAAGCAAGCACCTAATATTACATGATCACAAGATTTAGCAGTAATCTCTACTTTTACTCAGGGGAATAAAAACATTACTGTGCAAATTTTTTACTACATGGTTAGCATCAAATTTCCAATAAGGTTGTTATTATGCAGCATATTTTAGCAAAATCATACAAAATTACTCCTCTGCAGTTTAAAATTTATCTCACATGTTATTTTCTATGTCAATACTTACTAGATTTAGTGAAAAAAATTGTATTTTAGAATTTCTAGTCTTCCCCATCTTTTATGAGTCAATTTCCATCCCCAAAAATGAATTTAGTAAAACTATTCAAAGCTTGTGGAATATTTTCATGTTCTGTCTTGCTTAGGCTGATGCTACAGTCACTGGGGATTACTCAACTGGCTGCTTGTTTTCACAAGTGATGCCTTGTGATACATTCCTTTGGGAACCTCCAAACATCATTAGCAGTTTTTACACACTTTTTTAGCTCGTTTCACTAAATTCCCATCCAGACTGTGGAATAGAGGAGGAGTTAATTCCTTCTTTCCAGTACAGTAACTAGCAAAAACACTGCATTATGTAACAACACAACACAATACAGTACAGTGTTATATTTTTCCATAAGTTCACAAGGCACGGGGATCTTCCAGAATAAGTTTGTTTGGCGGTGTGTTCATTACTCCACCAAGCAGCTCGAGTAATATGGCAGCTGTTGTGTTCCATTTATCAGATGCCCGGCCCTTGATTTAAATGCTTCAGCTCCTGTGCTTGAAGTCACCAGATGGCACCAAACATGCATTTGCAAAAATACATTTGCACTACACACACTCTTCAAGTTAATGTTTGCTTTCTGATGATTAGCCAGTGACCGTGGCAGAAAATCGCTGACAAACATTAATATATTTAGCATATCCTTCAATGTCCCATGACAACAGCAGTGAAAAGAAAATAAGAAAGAAACAGTGGTCATATTATATACCTTACAATTCTAAAAATCTAAGAGAATACAATATTAATGAGTTTATATAACCAATCACAGTAACATGTTTGAAGTTTCCACACTGGACACTAGAATAACAAATAAACTCAAATTCATCCAAATTAAAGTAATATATTGTCACATGGCAGATTTATTATTAAATGACCACGATACATGGGAAACACTCTTCTGTGACCTCTCCTCTGCTGCCACCCTCAGGCCAGTCTCAATGTTTTAGATGAAACATTTGATCTTGAGTGTTGTTTTAGGAAGGAGTATGCACTTATTAGGAGTATGCATTTATTGGCCTCTTCATTTGTTACACTTTGTTGTATTTTAGGCATATTTAGTAATAAAATAATGGACATGGTCAGCAACAATACTGGTTTCAGATAGGCTGCGGCATTTAAATAATGCTCACTTGGGACTTAAAATATCCTCCACACTGCTACCACCAGTCTGAATGGCTGTTATAAGGGATAATGGCTTTCATGCGTTTATTCTTATTCTTGTTGTTTGCACAAAACCCTGCCCCTGCCATCCAAATGCTGCAGCAGCGATTGAAACTCATCAGCCTAGATAACTTTTTTCCAATCATCCACTCTCCAAATTTGATGAACTCTTGCAAACTGTACCCTCAGTTTCCCGTTCTTAGCTGACAGAAGTGCTGCTGCCCAAAATTAGGTGTGTTGTGCATTCAGAGATAGACTTCGGCTTACCTTGGTTGTAAAGAGTGGTTATTTGTGTGGCATTATCTTCCTATCAGATTAAAAAACAGACTGGCCTTTCTCCTCTGACAAGGCATTTTCACCCAGAGAATTGCTGCTCACTGGATATTTACCCTCTCTTTTTTTGCATCATTCTCTGTAAATCCTAGAAATGATTGTGCAGGAAAATCCCAGTTATAAGTAAATACTTATAAGTAAATATACAGCCCTAAGTACTGTCTCTTTTTAGCTACACTTTTGAGGCTAAAGGCAGAGATCTTTTATCCTGTATTATGACCTATTTTAGATCACATCCAGAGTAGGTCTGTAAAATTTAAACACACCGAGTTATCTTTCGGAGAATGGTTAATAAAAGGCAATTGGGGATGTGACAAAAGGCAGAACATTAGTAGTCGTGAGTTGCTGAGCCTTTGAAAGTCTTATGATGACAAAGATAAATGCACGCTGAAGACGAAGCCTTATTTGATTATAGCGGCTGCAGTCTCTCAGCCTCACGCCACACATGTTTTTGTCCATCCCTTACGTTCCTTCTTCACTCTGTTTTATGTTGGAAAAGTGACTGTCAGTGGACTGACGCTATTAATCATTTATTTTGGAGGATGATAGATAGCAGCAGAAGCCATCATTATCCAAAAATCTCAGCAGACACTGAACAAATACAGCATTTAATAGGTCCTCCTGAACATTATGTGTCCATCACTGCGCTTGTTTACTCTTCTACCATTCAGCCTTGATTAAAATGTGAAATGTTATGTCAGCATGTTGTCACCAGTGAAGTTTTACTGCTCTGAAAATAGCTGAGCTATGAAACACAATCATGTACAGCGGTAAAGGTTGTGCCACAATCAACACCTTGTTGAAATTATATAGCTTAGTAGTACAGTAGCTACACCTCTACAATCAGCAACAACTGCAGTGGGAAGCTGGAAGAGTAAAATAGGAATAGGTCAGCCACACAAACAATATCACAATATTTATGGACTCAAATAAAGCGGGGATCATAACAAAAAGTGACTTTCAGTTTTTTATGTGATTTTAATGGGTGCCAAGCTAAGCCAACAGAAAACCACTGACGAAAGTGTTGAACACTGGAATAAAGAAAATGCATTAGAATAAAATAAAATACACAATTAAAAAATAACAACACAAAAAAGCATCAGATGACATCATGAATTGTTAAAAACTTTGGTTGGTGAACTGTTAGAGTTCTAATTCAGCTCAATTTAACTTTTTTTTATATAGCGCCAAATCAAACCAAATCACAACAGTTGCCTCAGGGTGGTTTATGTTGTAAGGTAAATACCTTATAATAATGATATTTGAGTATTGTGGCACTAATTATACCACTTTTGCTTCCTTTTTGTACCAGTGTACAATGCAGTATTTGGAAAACGTCAAGTAAACTGAGGTAAGTACAAAGTCTATTCAAAAGCATCAGTTCCTGTCGCATAACTGCTCCATTTTGTACTTATTTAGTGTTTATGAGGCAAACTGAGTGAAGTGCATGGCACAAAGGAGGCAACAAGCTGTAACAATTTCCTGTTCCCCAGCCCTCTATTTGGGTCAAAAGTGCAACAATCTGTGTGCCAGAGATGACAAGAACATTTCAACTGCAATGTAAATGTAATCATTTTAGACCTCCGTATGACTAAATCAAACAAAGACTGACTCGTGTCTTTTGACAGCAGGGGTACATTCAAGCTGAAAATGGTGTACAAGTTTTGCTGTAATTTCCATGTTTATATGTTTTTTCTCAAAATGCTCTGCATCTGTGTACAACATGTTTGGATCATAACTAGAAAACAAAGCTGTAGCTGCTGCGATATCACACATTGGGTTTTACTCTTAATTCTGAAGCTCAGTGCTGGGATTTTGGCCACTGTCCTGTTAAGTTTGTTTGAGCCGGAAGTTACCATGTCAAGTGCTGCTTGTTTTCTGCATCTTTTCACTTATTTTCTCTCCCTTTTTGTTTACTATTGCCATATTACACGTGGACTTGTAAATAATAAAAGATATAGATAAATAAATAAAGACAAGAAAATTGAATTAAAATAAAAATACAAACAAGAGGAGCCTATAGAGAGACTATATAGCTCATCTTGGAAAATTGAATTTGTTTAGATTAGATTAGATTAGATTAGATTAGATTAGATTAGATTAGATAGAACTTTATTAATCCCTCGGGTGGGTTCCTCTGGGAAATTCGATTTCCAAAAAGCACAGCACCGACAGAAGTTTCAGAGTTACAGAATATTATATATATATATATATATATATATATATATATACACACACACACACACACACACACACATATATAAATACAGAGACAATATAAATAAAATATACGAAGGGGATAAATAGAATAAATAGGAATAAAAAATAAAAATACAAGTGAATGAATTGCATATTTCGAGTATTGAGGTCTATTGCACTGTTGACTATTTACAAAAGTATTGCACAAAAGGTATTGCACAGTGAGGTGAAGAGGCACTACAGCTTAGTTGTTCCCCCTCCTTTGTCCTCCTGTTTCCCCTCCCTCTCCCCTCCAGAGAGGAGTTAAACAGTTTGATGGCGTGTGGGACAAAGGAGTTTTTAAGTCTGTTAGTTCTTGTCTTGGGGAGAAGCAACCTGTCACTGAACAGACTCTTCTGGTTGTTAATGGCCGTGTGCAGAGGATGCCCAGCATTGTTCATAATGTCCATCAGTTTCTTTAGTGTCCTTTTCTCTGCCACTGTCACCAGAGCGTCCAGCTTCATGCCGACCACAGAGCCAGCCCTCCTGATCAGTTTCTCCAGCCTGGATGAGTCCTTCTTTGCTGTGCTGCTCCCCCAGCACACCACAGCATAGAAAAGTACTCCAGCAACCACTGACTGGTAAAACATCCTCAGGAGCTTCCTGCAGATGTTAAAAGACCTCAGCCTCCTGAGGAAGTACAGTCGGCTTTGGGCTTTTTTATACAGGTGCTCTGTGTTGCATGACCAGTCCAGTTTATTGTCCACCCACAGCCCGAGGTACTTGTACTTGTTTGGCACAACAGTCCATTCAGATGCTGATTCTGACTGCAAGACTTACCAGATATGACATTTAAAAGAAGATGAAGAAGATGTTGCTGTGTCTGCATGAGAGGGTGGCGTTCTAACTTATCAGCTTGTTAGCAAGTTGCCTCATAAGCTGTAAAGGTACATTGTTTAGACGCACATATCTGCTGACTGATGATGCAACAACATAAAACTCTTGGACGGGCACAGAGAAAGCAAAGCTCTTTGCCACATAGGCCAGCCAAAACAGTTACACTCATACCTCCAGCATCCAGAAATAGATGATTTATTTTGCATTAGAACTGTTAAGTTTTTAATTTTTTTAATTATTATTTTTTAATTAGTAATTTCAATTTACAAGTCTATGTGGATTGAGCAAAAGGCAACCTCTGAGGCTAAAAAAATTAAGGCTCCATGGACTAGCAGAAGTGCAGATCCTCTAATGGCCACTTGAGGATTCAAAAGGGAGTTTATTCCAGAAGAAGCACATGTTACAATGCCTAATTTTACAGTATTAAAATACATATTAACAGCATGG